ATCTAACCTCCTTTTGAAGACCCCCAGGGTAGGGGAGAGCACCACCTCCCTTGGGAGCCCGTTCCAGACCCTGGCCACTCGAACTGTGAAGAAGTTCTTCCTAATGTCCAGTCTAAATCTGCTCTCTGCTAGCTTGTGGCCATTATTTCTTGTAACCCCTGGGGGCGCCTTGGTGAATAAATACTCACCAATTCCCTTCTGTGCCCCCGTGATGAACTTATAGGCAGCCACAAGGTCGCCTCTCAACCTTCTCTTGAGGAGGCTGAAAAGGTCCAGTTTCTCTAGTCTCTCCTCATAGGGCTTGGTCTGCAGGCCCTTAACCATACGAGTGGCCCTTCTCTGAACCCTCTCCAGGTTATCCGCATCCCTCTTGAAGTGTGGCGCCCAGAATTGCACGTAGTACTCCAACTGCGGTCTGACCAGCGCCCGATAGAGGGGAAGTATCACCTCCTTGGACCTATTCGTCATGCATCTGCTGATGCACGATAAAGTGCCATTGGCTTTTCTGATGGCTTTGTCACACTGCCGGCTCATGTTCATCTTAGAGTCTGCTAGGATGTGTAGTCATCCAAGTCACAGCCTCTTAACTTGTTCACCAGTATGGGGTGGGATACCGTATCGAAGGCCTTCCTGAAGTCTAAGTATATGACATCCACCCCTCCTCCTGTGTAAGGTAAGGAACGTGGGCAGAAGCTTCCAGGGACCCAGTGATAGAAGTACCTGATTTCTATTATGTCTGCATGGGTCACTAGAGACAGAGTTGAGAAAATTAAGTCCTGGGGGTCAAAGCAGCAGAGGCTGATAAGACTTCCATTACCTTCTAGTGGATCGTAACTGAAGGAGGAGAAAAGGGTTTTTATACAGCACTGATTGAGCACGCTCAGAGTCTTATACATGTGGCACAGGACTCACTAGGCAGGACAGGGCGGAAATCAGAAGCATTCCCCAAGGAACAGCTGGCAGCAAATTATTCTGCCCAAGGGGTTGGAGTTGACATGACCATGCCAAGAAGGGAAAGGGAGATCCCCTCACCAAGACAGGTTGGATATGAAAGCACCAGGGATGACAGGAACCAGGGGAAGGTGGCTGAATGAAATGGAGCAGGATGTTGCACCAGTATTGGTGTATTTGTTTTTAAACTAGTTTGCATCTGTTTTGTTTTAATAATATTTAGTTTTAATTAAGCTTTAGTATAAATCAATAATATTTAGCACGAGTATAGCAGTCATTTTATTTTATGCTTTAATGTACTGATTTTAAGTTGCTACTATGAATTAAGTTTGTTATTGAATCTTTATCTTTTGTTATTTTGTTCTTATATATATTTGGATGTATGGATGAATAAATGAAGAGTGAATGGTAAAGGCAGAGTAAGCTATATATCAGCAAACAAGTTGCCAAATGGTGAATGATGTTGAAGTGGCTGAAGAATCCAGTCTGTACCAGGCAAGGAATAAAGGCAAACAGAAAAGATAAGACTGAAGACAAGGTCTGCAACATCTCAAAACTAGAGACTCCGGACACAGCCTGCACCAGCGATAATGGAAGAGTGTTGTAAAGACACTGATTGAAGAGCACCACCTAAAGACAATGATGCATGAGCCTAACCACTTGTCAGAATGGAAAAGTACTGAGATTTTAGACAAAGAAGCTACAGCATCAGGAAAGGCAGACCAGTCACTCAACACCAACTTGATAACCCCTGTAAAGGAGAGAGACTTAGCAGCAGGAGGTGGAGACTCTGTGAACTTCACTGAAACACATCTGTATTCCCCATTCCTGATCTCATATTAACTAGGCTGCCTACCTAGTGTATAGTATTTGAGCAACACTTTGGTAACTATAGCATCTGCAGAGTAATTGGGAGAGAGAGAGAGAGTGCGTGTGTGTGATCGCGCTTTTGAATACTATAATCAATAAATGTGGCATTTCACCTTATCCTCCTCATAAAGTCTCATTCATTATTTGAGCTAATTGGTAATTTGCGCAACAACGAGATGTCAGTATGAAACACGAGAGATGCCTGATCACACACGGAACCATGGGGAGGATGTGGATTTCAACCCCCAAGGAAAGGCTGACAAGGTCGAGAGTGCAGAGACAGGGAGAAGAAAATAAGCGTCAGCACTCACATGGCTGCAGGGAGAAGGAGGAAACAGCTTTACCCAGAGAAATGAGGGCTCGGCAGTTCCTCAGCATCTGGTACCGATAAAGCCCCTTCTGTACATCCTCCAGCAGCTCCCACTCTTCCCGCGTGAAGTACACAGCCACATCCTCAAAGGCCTCCCGGAGCTGCAGGCAAAAGCATTACCCCATGTGTCTCCTGTTCCAGCTGCCTCCAGTCTGTGCTGCCTGTTTCTGGGATCCCTCTGCGTGACAGTTCTCTGCAGGCTGCACCATGACACACTGGGTGCAAAATCCCCCCTCTTCACTGACACGGGATAAGGCTGCAGCCGTGGACATAGGGGTCCATGTGTCTGTCCTGGCACAGCTTATTTGGCTCCACGTGCTCAGCACTTTGAGGCAGCCGAGGCAACACCTATACAGCCAGGGGCTATCAGTACTGGCGGTCAGTCCATGCAAACACTGCCTGGGTGCAGTTGCAGCCCCCATCACCATAGGCTCATCACTCCTCCTCTCTCTCCACTTCCCAAACTCTTCACAGTGCCCCTGACTCCTCCCAGGTGCAGCCCCAGCTGTTTTTCCCACCCCCAGCTGGAGCTGGCTCCCTGCTCACCTCCATGCTCTCCCCCCGCCTTGCGAACCTGCCCTGCACCTTCTGCAGCTGGCCCCGCAGAGGGCTCAGGG